AGACAAACCGGTTCTGGGAACTGTTGAAGAAATGAATGATTAGATACAACTAGCAACACAATAGTCGGACTAAAGGCGGATGTAACTTTTATGAGGGCATTCATTGTCTGTTGCCATCACATTCCTTCAAATATCGGAAAGGTAGGGAGTTCACGGAGACAGCAAAGAATGTTGTTTGTGAGAAGATGATCTATCTCACTTCAGGATCTCCATTCAACAATGGACTTATCTAACTGAAAAGTTTGGAAAATATCCAATATATCTATCTTTTTCTGATGGAATTTAAACACCTACTGAATTTAACTCTACCTTACTGCATTTTTATAAGCTTCTTTCCACACTTTGCTATTTTATGTTTATTTTTATTTCCTTTGTGAACAAAAAAAAAACAAAAAAAAACATAACTGTTGATGAGATCAATGACTTCATCCGGCACTTTCTCAATTACTTTACGAAAGATAATCAGTTCATCACAGACCGAAGATGAAAAGGTTTGGCATTGCATGAAGCTGAATAGTGGAAATTTTTTTTATGAATACGAATAGTGTGGAATGCTCTTTTTTAATAGCTTTTCTTAATTAAAAATTAAATTACGTTAAATACCTTAAGTGGTATGTGTGAAACCTTTTCCTTTTTAACCGAGCTTGAAGTTTAAGAATGCAATAAAACTAATTGAAATATATAAAAGTTTATTTATAAACGTGAATTAAAATTCAATTCAATTTTATAGCTTTCATGGATATCAAATGGTATATTGACTTTTGTCTAAAATATGTGAGTGTCAAAATGTCCACCGAACGGTTCATAACGGCGTGCTAAGTTGTCCATCTGTCCGAATGTCTGTCTGTCTGTTCATCAGTTTAAACATAAACTAGTTCCACAGCTTTTGAGATATTTCAACCAAACGTGTTGCGTACCCACGAAGATGTACCGTGTTGATCATTTGTAAAGGCCGACCGGATCGGAACCCTATATCTCAGAGCCCCATACAACCGGTTTCTTGGGATATGAGGTTTTTTTTTTCAAAAAATTCATATTCTACGCATGCAAATACATATGAATAAATTAATTGGCACAGAAAATCAACTATATCGGAGGAATATATATCATTGAGCGATTTCTTCAGCTCTGGGAATTAGCAATTTAAAAATTTTGATATATTCTTGAAAGGTATAGAGGCTTCGGCATGGTATAAGAGATCACGTCTTTCTTGTGAAAACATCATTTTTCGATAGTTTTACTTAAAATAATTTAGTAAACTATTAGAAACCATTAGACAATTTTTTCTGTATATAAATTCTATATTCTTCAGCTGGTGCTAACAAATTATGAAGCAGAGTTGAAAAATCATTTCGTATTCGACAAAAAATTAATATATTTTGTTGTTGCTTCAGGCATTCGATTCAGTTTCTATACTAGTAAGTCTTCAAATTAAACACCGGATCTCTGCAAATTAATATTCTTTTATTTGTAAAATACATATATTTTTATATCTTGATATATTAACCGGCTAAGCAGAATCATTTCAAATTTCTTGTTAACTCTTTAACACATGTCATGTCATCAATTTTTTCTTCAGATTCTAGTTTTGACAAGTATCTTTCATATTTGTGCTTGGCGTTTAAGCAATTAATTTCACCTTTTATTTGCTGCAAAACAAAATATGATCTCTCTAATAGGTTTGTATGTATAAATATTACATTCAAAGTATTTAACTATTTTTACCTTATTTCACTTTACGCACGTGTGTGAGTAGTGATTGATCTATTGTTAGCTTTTTTTTACTATAAAACTTGTATGGCTATTATCGAAAGATAGCTTGAAGGCAGCATAAAAAATGGCCATTCTTGCATTCATGTCTTCTTGTAAACGAAATTTAGTTCTATAAAAAATGGATAGTTTCTAAAGTGAGGCTTACATACGTACGTGTATATCTATATATATGTATAAATAAATAAATATTAAATGCTTGAAGAATTTCTTTTCGCATAAAAGTTTAAAAACTCAGACACGTGCTCACATGGAAACTCGTTTAAAACATATTATATTTGTTGTACCCATAAATGTTGTTTTCATTGTTGTCGATAATAATACTCGCACGCAGGTATGCATAAGAAAACCTCAATATATACCAGTATCTTGTGGTGATGTTTAAAGCTGGTTTTAATTGAAAATAGTTTAATATCGCTTAGAAATTATTCAAGCTATTTTATGGAACCGGTGTAGCTAATCATATTCATTTGATAATAATGAAGACTTTTAATAGTGATCGTTTGTATGTAACATAAATTTATATTATACAAACAAATACTCAATAATTTCTTGTCGTCATGATACCTTAAATGGTGTGCCGAATACTTAATAAATGAAAAAATAAAATAAACAAATGCTAATAACAAAAACAGAAATTAAAAAAAATAAATAATTAAAATTAAAATTAATAAATCAACTAAAAAATATAAACAAAATAGACTTAAAAAAATAAAGTCAAATATAATAAATTAAAATAAAAATTAAAACAAAATGGAATATATGAAAATTAAATAATATAAATTAATATATAATATAATAAATTATAATAATATAAAATAAAAAAATAAAGATCAAATGACATAAAACTTATAAGTCAAATAAAATCAAATACCATAAAAAAGAGAAGAGTAAAAGAGAATAAAATTTACTAAAAAAGTGATATATAATAAAACAAAGTAAAACAACGTAAAACAAAATAATAATAATAATAAATTAAAAATAAAAAAAATTAAATGACATAAAAACTTTACACAAAATGAAAAACATAAAAATTTTAAATCCAATTACACATATCAAAATAAAATAACATATAATAATATAAACAAAATAAAGTAAAACTAAGCCAAATAAAGTGAAATTAAATGGAATGATAAAAAATAAAATTAAATTAAACAAAATAATATCAAATAAATTGAATTAAATTAAATAATATTAATTAAAATTAAATCAAATAAAATAAAGTAAAATATTATATAATAAAATGAAATGATATAATATAAAATAAAATTAAACAAAATAAAATAAAGTATAATAAAATTAAATTAAATGAGATAGAATAAAATAAAATCAAATGAAATAATATAAAGCATTATAAAAAATGTAAAAATTAAAATAAAAGAACATAAATTAAAAAAAACTAATTTATTATTTGAATAAAGTAAATGGAAATCGGATTAAATAAAATAAAATAAAATAAAATAACATAAAAAAGATAATTAATAAATATAATTATTATGAATGAAATAAAACAAAATAAAATACAAGAATTAAATAAAATGAAAAAGTTACAACAAAATAAAGTAACTTAATAAATAATTAACATAAAACTTAAAAAAAATTAATTAGAATAAAATAAAATTTAATATAATATAATAAAATAAAAAGAATTAAGTTAAAATAAAATAATATAAAATATAATCAATTAAACTAAAATAAAATAAAAAAATAAAATAAAATAAAATGAAGTAAATTAAATTATAATATAATAACTTAAAATAAAATAAGCTAAAATAAAAAATATAAAATAAAATTTAATGAAATGAAATAAATTAAATTCAAATAAAATGAAATAATATATTATGTAACAAAATAAAATAATATTAAATGAAGCGGAAATAAAATAAATAAAACAAAATAAAGTACAATAATATAAACCAAATTTTATAAAATAAAATGAAATGAGATAAAATAAAATGAAATAACATAAAATAAAGTAAAACTAATTAAGGCATTATTAAAAAAATGTTAAAATGAAAAAAAATTAAATAACATAAAGTAAAATCATATAAAATAAAAATAAATATGTTTAAAAATTAACTAATTAATTATTTTAAAAAAGTAAATGAAAATTGGAAAAAATGAACATAAAAACAGTATTAATTATTTGAATTGTGAATAAAATAAAATAAAGTAAAAAATTAAATAAAATGAAAAGCTTAAAATAAATAAACTCACTTAACGAATAACAAAGTGAACCAAAATAAAACAAAATTTAATAAATTAATATAAAATAGAATAAAAAAAAATAAAAAATAAGATAAAATAGAATAAAATAAAGTTCAAAAAATACAATATAATAAAATTAAATTAAATAAAAGCATTTCGGTAGAAGACGTAAACAAATTTGTCGCTTTCGGAACAGGCAAGTAAACACCTACATTTTATTTATATATGTTTGTACATATTTTCATATATATGTTTATACTTACACATATGTATAAATGTAAGTTAATGAAATGCTAAAAAATCAGAAAAATTCAAAACCAACAAATTAAAAGGGCAACGCCGCATGCATATATTGTATTTACATACAAACATGCACACATTCAAAGGTATGCGCTGAAGGCTACAAAAAAACTCAAATATCAAATAAAAAAGCTTTTGATTAGAATAACAATGAGACAGAATTTCAACTAATTATTTATGCTGCGTTAGCATTGCAGGTTGTTGCACAGAACTTGACTCCGCTGAGACAATGTTTTCATTTTCGGATTATATATATGTAAGTGTGTGTATATGTGTGTGTCTTTCGATACTCTTTGAATTTATGTAAATCTTGTACAATTTTTTTTTTTAAGTTGCGCATGTGGCTCTTATACATATATACATATACATATCTATAAATTTGGTGGACTTTGCCGCTGCATGAAGCATTTGTTTATTCGAGCAACATGTATGTATGTATCTATGTATGTATATTGGAAATTTCTATTTATAAAATGAGAGCAATGATGTGTAGAAAAGTTTATGCAGGCATGTCGAACACGCCAGCCCCCAAAAACCAAAACTATGTTTTAAAACCGACAAATAAATAAATTACAAAACAAGCATATTTACATATGTACGTATATATATGATTGAAAATAAAGTTTTTTGTATTTACTAATCACTCATTTCAATATACACAAACACTAGGTATATATACATATATTTAAATATACTTATACTATTTATTGCAACTGACATACCCTATTACACTCCAATGCAGCAGCGCTATGCTCCTCACGTTGACGAAAGCAATGGCTGCATTTGCTTTTGTTGAAGATATTTGGGGAAAATTTACGACAATCCGAGGTGCGTGTTGTCGACATTTTTTGCCTTCTTGCTGTTGTTATTGCTGCTGTATATATGAACTGTTGCTATATTTATTATTGTTCTCGTTGCAGTTGAGTTGAGTTGATTTTGATTGTGAAACATATAATAACTATATATATAGTCATATGTATATACATATATGCTTCAGATGGTTATTATTATGATACATTGAAGTTGTTTATTATATTTATAGCAATTTTTACTGTATGTTGTTGTTGTTGTAACGGTATTTAACTCTTTATTTTTTAGAAATTTGCAAAAGTTGTTTGTCGATCTTGTAGCTATTGCTGTGGCTGTTTGGTGTTGAGAAAAAATATTTATGAATTTAATTAAAACTTTTTTTTCAGTTACATGCATCTATTTTCGGTAGTAAATTTTTATTGTATGCTGATGCTGCTGACGAATTAAGTGTTCCTTTCCATGAGTATTTTGGTTATGAATCAAGCTTTTTTATTTAGTGTTCGTTTTAAATTTTGTTTCACTTGGGTTGGTTATATTTTATTTCATTTTGTTTAATTTCAATTTAACAAAATATTTTTTTTTTTGTACTTAAAAAAATTTTAATTTTTAATTTAATTTAATTTTATATAATTTTTTTAATTTATTTTATTTAATTTTTTAATTTAACTTAATTCTAATTTTGAATTTATTTAATTTTATTTTTGTTCATTTTTTTGTTTTGTTTTATTTTATGTTGTTTCCTTTTATTTTTTTTATTTTATTTTATTTTTTTAATTTATTTTATTTTAATTTTTCAATTTAACTTAGTTTTACTTTTTATTTTATTTTAATTTTTTAGTTCATTTAATATTGTTTTATTTTATTTAACTTGGTTTGAATTTATCTTATTTTATTTTAATTTATTTTCCTTTATTTTATAAAGTTTTATTTTAATTTTATTTTGTTTAGTTTTATTTTGTTTTCTTTTATTTTATTTTTATTACTTTATTTTATATAAAATTTATTATATACTAAGTTATGTGTATTATATTATTTTTATTATATATATATTATTTTTCTATTTAATTTGATTTCGCTTTTTAATTTATCAAATTTAAATTAATTAATCATATATTATATATTTTGCTTTAATTTAATTTATTGCACTTAATTTGATTTAAATTTGTTTGTTTTTTTTTTAATTTTGTATTATGTTTATATTATATTTTATTTAAAATTATTTTATTATTTTTATGTGTTTTTATTTTATTTTAATTATTATTTTAGATAATTTTATTAAGTTTCTTAATTTCCTTTTTTTGTTTATATTTAAAACAACTAGTTTTTTTTATTTACATCATTTTTTCTGTATTTAATATCGCTTTATTTATTTCATCTTTTTAAGGTTTTTAATTTAATTTAATTTCATTTTTTATTTGATATATAAAATTTGTTTTACTTAAATTTAGCCAATTTTTTATTTTATTTTGTTACGGTGAATTTATCATGTTCAGTTTATTTCATTTTGATTTATTCCATTTCATTGACATTTATTTATACAATTTGTTTTCTTATTTTTTTTATTAATTTAAGAATTATTTGTAGTTTGTTTATTTAAGATATTATTTATGTTGTGTTTCCATTTCATTTCTTTTTAATTCTTATTTGTTTTATTGCTTTTTTATTTGCTTTTAATATTAATATTTTGAAATCATTTTATATTTAATTTAGTTTATTTTATTTTACTTTATTAAATTTAATTATATTTAATTAATTATAATAATTTAATTATATATAAATAAGGTATTTAATTGTAATTCTGTTTCATTTAATGTACCTTTTCCTTTTCTGCCATTTCATTTTAATTTTTTTGGTTTTATGTTACATTTTGCTTTATCTTATTACATTTAAATTTTTTTTATATAACTAAAATTTTGCTTAACCAGATGTTTTCAAATTCTGTTCCATTTAATTAAATTATTTATTTCAATTTCTTGTATATTAATTTATTCTTTTTAATTATTTTTATACGATAGAAAGATTTTTGCTTATTTGTTTTCCTTACATTCACACAGAATTCAGTTTTCGTTATTCATAATAAAAATTATTAAAAAAAATCGGAAGATGTATTTTTCTTTATCTATTTTGATTACCATTGAATTGATTTAGATTTTTCCAATTTTAATATTTCATAATATAAAACAATTAATTTTTATTTTTCTTCCATTATCTCATTGCCATAATCGATATCTCAGCGGTGTTTATTTGGCCTTCTCATAACTGAACCAATTAAAAATGACTTTTATCTTCAAAGTACAAATTCAATGATATTGTTTTATATTGGTTTATATGTTAAATATTTATTTGAATGGGGTACTGGGTACATTAACGGCACTTGAACACCTGAAGCAAGTTACATTTTTGACAGATCGATTTGACAGCTGCTCGCACACGTGACACTCGTGAAATATTGAATACATATACAACTACATATAAATATATGTATTGATATTAAAATATGCTTACAAATAACACTCAGTCTGTCATTACTAATTGCATTTAATTGGAGTACCTTGTTTATAAGTATATGCGAGTGAGTAATTGAAAAGTGCGAAAAATATTGTATAAAGCATGTATGTATGTATATATAATGTATGTATAATTTCAATAAACTATATGTTTTGAAAATGTATAATCATCATTTAAAAAACAATTAAAAAACTTCAAGCTCATTTTAATAGATATTTTTTGTTTGCTTTAAAAGCTCTGAAGAAGCATATTTCTCTCACCACCTGCACCGTTACAGCTTTTCAACGCTGAATTTAAGTGTATGTAGGCGTAAAGTACGTTAAATTGGCGAAAAAGCATTGAGGTCACACACAGCGGATAAACAAAAAAAAAAAAATGATTATAATTAAGAGATGTTCGTTAGCTAGTTGTTGAAGAAAAAAATTAAAATAAATAAAATGCCGCGACTGCAAAACTAATAGATAAGTCAGCGCTTAAAATTTAAGTAAAAATAAAAATAAAGAAAAACTGATAAGACGTTTTAGTTAAGCCATATGTTTGTACAGTTTTAGTGTTTTTTTAATTATATTTTTTTTTAAGTTTTTTTTCACCGCGTCATCAAAAAATGGGCTAGTCTTTTTTTTTGCTTTTACTTCACTTCACTTGTGGTTACGGGTTTTATTATCTTCTCACTATTTTACTCATATTTACGTTTTGCAGGTACTTACACACACACCTGTGTATGAAAAACGTTAAAAACGGTTTGTACTAAATTTTTTATTTATTTTATTACTTTTTGGCTTTTGTTTACTTTTTAACGTGTACACTTTTTGTTTATTTTTCACGTTTCCATTTTTTTATTTAATTCTTTTTTTTAGTGTCTTTGTGTGAATTTGTTTTCATTTTGAAGCTTTGCGTCTCAGATTAACTTTTAATATTTTTTTGTCGTAATATTTTTTGTGCTTTTTTTTGTTTTTTTTTTTTTATCTCGCTGTCCAGCAGTACCGTTCTTCAATTGTGCTCTTAAAGTTGGTCAGCAGGTTGACAGTTTATTTATTTAATTTGCGCACGTTTAATTTTTTTATGTCTCGTGCACGTTTTTTTTAAATTTTTTGTATTTTTATTTGTTGGTCATACCTGCAAAATTTTATTAATATGCACTATTTTTAAGCTTTTGGTTTTAATGAGTTCTAGGGAAAAATGCTCCCATGGTTTAGGGCTTCACCATAGACTTAGCAGAGATTGTTTGGTTGAAGTATTGATGAAAAATAAAAATTTTTGCTTTTTTGTTTATACTCCTCCGAAGAGGAGATATACTTTTATGAGATGCTCTTTTCCGCGATTGCCGAGTGGATAAAAATTTGAACTACTATTACAGAAGGACCGAGTTCGAGACCTGGTCCGATTAATAACCCAATTAATTGGAAAATGATAGATACTCCGAGTTTGAATCTGGCGTGATGTGAAATCTCCACAAAAATGGTACATCAGTCGGTCGGAGGTGGCTTTGAATAAAATGTGTTGAAAAAATTTATTAAAAAACTAAATATTTTTTTTCATTTACTGCCGATATTTCAATAATTTCGAATTGTACTTATGTTTAAAAATTTTTTAAGATGATTTGAGATCCTTTTCTGCACCAAATTTTTTTTCTGCTTCCTTCATAAACTTCTAGATTAGCTCTAAATTTTTTTTTTTTTTTTTTTTTGAAAAATTTGAAGTAGCTCAATCAGATTAGAAGAGGGTGCGGGATCACAGATCTATAATTTTAGAGCGAAACATTATTATTGATTGTGTCGCAATATCTTGAACTCGGTGCAACTTGACAGAAGCGAAAAAATAGTCCACTTGTTCTTAACAGTCTGATCTGAATCAAAAGTTTGAAGTTTGAAAGAAACGTAATAAATGAAGATCTGATGGTGCTAAGTCAGACCTGAAGGTTGGACACGGAATTTGTACTAACTTAAGCTCTGTTGGTTTTTGAAGGACTGCGTCTTTGATGCGATATCTTCCAGCATTATCATGATGGAACATCATGTACTTGGATGATGGAATATCTTTTACTACTTATGTTACATCGATTGGGATTAATTAACCTTGTTGTAACATCACTTAGGGGCAAACAAAGTCGATTTTTAAGAGAAGCCGAAGAAACGAGTTGTTTCGATGGGTTCGGATAAAAAGAAGATGGGTATTAGATTAGTGGGTTTTAGTAAACGGGCCACCTCATGTAAGGCGCGTAGAATATTAGTCGGAAAAGTCGGAGTTGGGTATATTACAATATCTCTCGAAAGCTCGAGCGTTTGGTAGTGGTTGGATTTCGATAATCCCATTAATAGAAATAAAGTTATTGAAGGTGTTCCCCCGATGCTTTGCGTATGGCGTTTAGCGCTTGTCAGCGGTTCTGTGTTAAGGTGCTTAATGATTCATATTCAAGCAAGTCACTGCAACGGTAATATCTGTGGATGCTACCAGACACTTTTGGATGCAAAAAATATATTATAAATTTTTTTTATTTAATTTTAATTAATATTAATAATTGTTTCTAGCTTTAATCAAAACCATTTATTTTGTGATCTCGCAGCTGAGCTCTATCTACTCAGTGGACGTCACAAAATTCTTAAACTTACACCGGTAGGTATAAGACGCAGTTTCGCAGCGCAGTTGTACATATATACATGCATACATATGTATGTATAAGCTCATAGTTTTGTATGACGATTTTTTCTTCCTCACATTACTACACATAACTCTTATATAAAACTTGATTGTTTCTATATTTATTGTTATTATTATAATTATTATTAATGTTGTTAGTTCAACCAATGCTTGATTGTCATCACAAAATTTATTCTTAGCCACTGCGAGCTTATGCGCCGATTATAAAATCTCAGCAAAGTTGATTATAAAATTCTCCATTGAATGGCAACGAAAAGAAATATTATATTCAACTCTTAATAAATGACAGCAACAATAATAATAACAAGAAATGTGCACACAAAACAATAATACAAGCAAGAACCGTATTATAGTAGAATTAAGTGTATGGAATCTCAAGACAAAAGAACGTCAGCAGCAGCAGCAGCAGCAGCATTAATAATAACAACAACAAAATATTCACAACTATCATTTTAGCCTGAAACAAAAAGTCAGCACAAGCAGGAGAGCAGTCAGCGGCAAAATGAAAAAAAAAAATAATAATACCAAAAAAAGAAAAAAAAACACAAAAAGAAAAGAAGAAAAAACAAGTTAACAGCACACGCAGCCAGTTAGCTATTGAAGCAGTTAGCTATGCAGTCATTCAGCCAGCAAGTCAAACGGCGAGCCACTTCTTGCTGCATGCCACATCTTATTATTTTTTGTCTGTCTGCTTGTCTGTCAGTATGTAAGTAAGTTCGAGTATATATGCCCGCCTGTCTGTTGGTTTGTCTTCACGAATAGCCAGCCAGTTTTTGTTTGCTTTTGTGTTCTCTTCATTTGTTTTCGTATTAGCTACGTTTGCACTTTAGGCAATTTTTTTTTTAATTTGTTTGCATATTTTTAGCTACGATATTCGTAGATTTTTATTGCATTTTTTACAATTCCAAAACACACAGACACACTTACAAACTCACATAAGCAGATTATTTAATTTTAGTATATATGTATGTATGTATTTTTGTTTTGTATTACGAACACACCAGCATGATCATGTTATTTGTTTTATTTTTCTCTTCACTTGTTATGGCTCTACCTGCTGTTTAACTGTTTCTTTTTGTTTTTGTAATATATAACCTTTTTAACATAACTGAAAATTTTAACTAAGCGAAAAAAATATCTCATTACTTTATTTAACTTTGTTGTATTTATAGCGTTATGATGTTGCTTACTACTACTTCCACCAACATTTATTTCGTGCCCATTTTCGCACTCCCCGTATTTACAAATATGTATGTATGTACTCTCCGCTACACACCGCTCACTTCACAGCCACAGTTCACGCATTTGCACAATTGGCATTTATAATTTAGTAATCAAAAACATACATTTTCGGCTTTAAATTATTAAAGGAATGCAGTGATTTTCATATGGATTGAATTTTCCACTGCAATTCTTGTTTTCAATGACCCGTTTCTTAATTTTATTTACAAGATTTATTTTATTTATTTATTTTTTTTTTTCGTTCTGCAGTATTTAACGTCTTATGCGTACCCGACACGTATCCATTCAGTTACGTGAATACAACTCAACTGGTTTCACATGCCAGCCGTTTGGCGTTTGTGAGCCCATGAATGGCAATGCCGACGTAGTCTGACAGCATGATGCCCACCCCAACAGTTCGAACATGTTCGTTGGTTATGTTCGAAGAGCTCCAATTGTTGGAGCAGCGTTGCAATGCAGTCTGCAGTCAGCGTGTTTTTTTTGTTTGTTTTATTGGTTGTATAGTAGGTGAGGTCAGGGTATCCGCTAGAGATAAATATAGAATTATTGGAATTTAATTTATTGAAGGAGCTTAGAAGTAGTGAAGATAGTTGAAATGTAAATATAGATTGTTTTGGGGTTCAAATCAATTGGTTATATGCGTTGAAATTATTTATAACAAATATAATTTATTAACGTTAAACTAGTATACACCTGTTGGCAGGAATGATTCTGCGTTGGACTTAAAGCTGACATTATTATTGGTGCTAATGTTGGTCCCTGGATAAAGGAAATTTTCTAAGATCTCGAAATTATGACTTTCAAAAGTGACGTGGGAGCAAAGTCATGTGGGAGCAGACTGTTTGAAATTTCCTCTTACCCTCGCCCTCTATCAGACCCATTCGCTTCACTTCTTTGTCTAGCGTGGAGAAGGCAAAACTAACGGCGCGGTTGCTAAGGTCTATGATATTAATGTCATCGGCATACGCCAGCAGTTGTACGCGATCGTTGGTTAAATTAACTACGAATCTTTGATCCAGAACTATCATTTTTCTATAGGATTTTTGTTGCAAAAACGGTAAAAATGGAAGTGGTGTATGTAGCTCACCTCTTCCGAGAATCGTGTAGAATTTAATATTATATTGAAGTGCGTGTTTCTGCATGGTTGAGTTGCATTTAGTTTTACAACGTTTGCATCTGGAATGAAGTTTGAGGTAAAAGTCTGCCGGAAGAATTCTAAGCAGAGGTGCTTTCGTGGGAGCTGAAACCAGCGCTTCAAGTGTGGGGGACGTTCGCTCAATTTTTTCCAGCTTGCTACTATAAGTGCCCACCAGACAGTGACTCCGTGGAATAATCTGTTTCTTATTGCCGCTTTGTATCCCTAGTATGCAATATACATGTATGGTCCCTCTTCGTCAACTCTTTTAACGATTGCAGCCTTGCAGAAGTGGAGTGCGGTCATAGCTTTCTTACTTCCCTCCACCGTGCTTCGGTTCCTAGTGAGGTTGTTATTTATGATTATGCTTAGGTATTTAACCTCATTGTAAAGAGTGACCGCGATACGGTTGCGGCTTAAAAGCAGAGCGACTTCCACTATATGATTAAAAGTATCAATTCGGTCTTTGAAGGATCTACATGTAGTCTGCATTCATTTCATTAGTTCTTTACAGCGTAGGGGCGTTTTGGAGTGTTGAGTATCGCGTTCTGCAGTTAGATAGAGGACTAGCAGGCATGCACATATTACAGCTAAGAAAACGCAGCTAAAAAATTTAACCAGAAAGATGTAAAGGCATGGCACCAAGTCCAAACTTAACGTCTTTCTCTTGTGAATTTATTGTGGTTAAAAATCGAGCTTACGTTGAAACAGTAATTGATTTTAAAAGACAATTCCAAAACTCTTAAATTATATTCGAAGGTGGGCCAAAGCTAAAAGCGGAATGGTGATTGCCAAATAAACAATAGATATGCAAGACTAAGTGTGTAATATTAGTATTGATATATGTATATGTATGTGTTGCTGCTTATTATACTATCGACACTTTTTTTTGGTAACATTTCTGGCAAAAAAACATTCATGCTCAAATGTCTCCACCCAGCCAGACGGTCGCAATGCGAATGCTATGCGCAATCGTTTATACAATAAATGTTGTTGCTGCTGCTGCTGATGTTGTGGTTGTTTTTGTTGTCGTCGTCGTTGGGCAGAAGTAATGCGAGCTTACCGGTTGAACCACCTGCACAGCCTTTAGGTGCACGAAACCTGCAAAATGAAATCCAAAGTAAGTACTCGTAAGTAAGTATGTAACCACCGAGGGAAAAAATTAAAAACAGCTGAGCAAATATGTGGCTAACAGTCGACGGTTGGTACCAATTCAGTTGCAGTTGCAGTACCACATGCACACACACACACACACACACATGTACACCGTGCGACGCTAAGCGTTTGCAATCAGGCGCATTGCATGCGCAAATCAACGGCAATAAAGTGGACTAACTAGTAGTAGACGGGAGTGTGGTGCTGAAGCGGTGGCCAAGAGACGGCCAAGAGACGGCGGACCACCAGACACTTGTTTGCGAAATGCCGCTAACGCCACACGAAATATAACCGCTGCTGTAAAGCCACAGTCAGAAACCAAAAAATGAGAAAACCAAAACCAAAGCGGCACGCCAATTCGGTTGACTCGCAGACGAAGAGACAAGTCGAAGTCGCGCAGGCAAACGTGCCAGTAAGTCTCGGCAAATTGTCAGCATGCCATTGCCGCGGTGTACGCTGCAAGCTCGTCTACGGCTGTTGTCCCGCATGCCATTGCCGTGGCACCAACGTGCAAAGACCTTTTGTGAAAGTGAAATTTCTTGCAGCTCATTTTTTTTTTGTTTCGCCTTACTACAACGGCTCACCTTTTTATGGTGTGTTGGTGCGCTTCCTTTTTTGGACACTTTCAAAATATTTATGAAAATACTGCCAGCGCAGGAAAGCAACTAGCAAATAGAGAAAAAAACTTGAAAAAAATTACTTCAAACGTTTATGCCAATCACCAGCGCAGCACACATGGCGGGGATGACAAATGCTCTTGGTATTTATATTCATGCTAGTTTTGTTGTTATTGTTGTTGTTGTTGTTGTTATTGTTGTTGTTGTTGTTGTTGTTGTTACAGTTGATTTTTGCCATTTATGAGTTAGGGAAAAGTCTCAAAAGTCACAGCGCCGCATTGTAAATATTCCTGGTAAATATTTATCTCTATACATATGTGAATGTTTGTATGTATGTTTAGGAAATACTTCGGTCATTGCACCATTGAGGATATTTGTCCTCCTATGTTTGGTTATATATAAGCAAACGACTGATGAAAGCAACCACATACACGTATGTACATATGTCGTTGCATTTCTTTTTCACTATTTCACAGCCTTTCTGGTGAATACATAATTAGGTTTATATTGGGATAGGTCAGGGTACTCATGAGACATACGGAATTGGAAATGGAAAAGTCTGTTGAGTAAATAGCATGCGATACGGGGAATGTCGGCCCCTCCGAGTGTATCTCTGACATGAAAATCAAAAAGTTCCTCATAAAAAAAACTATCAGCCGTTCGGAGTACAAAGTGTAGGTCCCTCGATTTGTTGGAAAAACATCAAGATGCTAAACCACAAATTGAAGTTTGAGCTCGGCCGAATATCGCTGCAGCGATTACAAAGTGCCAATTATATAAGGTATTGGAATGGTTGTTGGATCCATTATTGAAATAGTATTCACCGAATGCGAGGAAAATTACTTCATCACCTCACTAGAATTATTCATAAATTTGTAAGCTTTCGCAGAAAATCAAATTTTTACTGCAACTCATAAATTTATATAAGGAGGAGAGGAGCAAATGTGCCCCTTTTCTCTCAGCTGAACTCACCCCAGGTTTCTATTAAGATACAAAGTCGACATTGAAAGTAAGGATCTAACATAAACCACGGTATGTTGTGCAAAGAGTTCGATAAAAATACTAAAAGTGCATTAAAGAATTCACTTCCGCTCACAAGAAGTAAAGGAAGTACTATCCAGCGTCTGGTTTATCAACGATATTAATAACTATTTATAACCACTGAAATGATATTCAGTTGAGTCGCTCCTCCAATTAGCCGCCTCTGAACGGCCGACAGATTTTTATAAGGAGATTATGTTTGATGTTACTCGTAAGGGGTGACCGCAATTAGATAAATTAATTTTTTATAATTTTGAATATTGGTAGAACCAGGACAGTTTGTACCAAACCGCCTCCGAATGATGATTGGATGGCTGATGGTTTTTTTATGATTACCTTTTCCATGTCATAATAAATACATTCGGAGGAGTTGACATTGTCCGCCGAGGGGCGACCGCAATTAGAAAATTTGACTTAATTTTTTATTTAACTTTTGGATGTCAGTCGAACCAGGATAGGAGCCCTGACATTCAAAATGGTAGGACGCAATATTAACCCACGGCTATTGCAGCCGCAATAATAAAAGGAATTTCCAGCTGTATTAAATATATTTTAACTGACAGAAAAGGTGGTAACATGGTTTTCTGTACCCGATTCCAAAAATATATTTACCCCCTTCCAATATCTATATAGACCATATGATCACTCCACTACAACTTCTCTGGCGCTAAGACACGTAGATAGCAAAAAGCTCGGGACATTGGCGAAGTTATACACGAGCGGGAGACATAAAGGGAGAGAAAGCGGCAAAACGTTTTGATTCATATCACAAATACTCAGAAATTACTGTACAGATCACCATGTGATCATGTGATCGAGATTATGCATACAATTATTATTTTTATATGCGCTCTCAGAAAGCTTTTTATACGAAATCCCGGGATCAATAGAGGAGACACTAATGATTAGTACAAAAATGAATACTAGTAAAGATTATCGATGGTAATAAATGTATGAAGAGATCATAACTCAACATTATAATACCGAAAGTTTCAATGAACATTCCAAATTGGCATTAAATTTAATAGTTTTTGATCTAGTTATCATTGAAAGAGTTCAGTTTAGTACAGGGCTTAGAATTTAATTCAAATGTCGAGACCTTTGTGAAGAGAGAATAACGTCCGACAGTTAATTGGAAGCGATTGTTTAATAGTCATAAAAGACATAATTTTTAGTAAGTATTTATCTAAAATTTATCATTTAAAATCAATTAAAATTGTATCTCAAGACTTGTGGTGGGAAAAAGCAGCAGCTGTGTACCGGCATTACACAGCTCTATTTTTGACCTTCGTAGAGCTAGAAAGTCATACAGTCCAATTGCAAAGCAATATAGAATTAAGGTTTTGAATGCCTTAAAGCATAACCTGAATT